CCCTCCCCCCTCTGAGCTGGATCAGCTGCACGTACACGTCTCCCCTTAGACTTTGTGCTGGAGAATTTCTCATTAAAAATGCCTCCTCTGGACCCTGGGTGGGGGCGGGGGGCAGCTCAGTTGGGTGGAGTGTCGTCCCGATACACCAAGGTTGTGGGTTCGACCCCAGTCAGAAGCAGCCAATGGATGATGCATAAATAAAGGAGCAACAAGTCGATGTTTCTCCACCCCAACCCCCACCCCATTTCCTCTCTCTCTCATCAATTTATTAAAATCATCTCTGGTCCGACCGGTGTGGCTCAGCAGTCGAGTGTGGACCCATGAACCAAGAGGTCGCTGGTTCGATTCCTGGGTTGCTGGCTCGATCCCTAGTAAGGGGCGTGCAGCCCACTCATCGATGTCTCCATCTCTCAATCCCTCTCCCTTCCTCTCTCTAATATCAACTTAAAAATATTTTTTAAAAAAATCTCTGCTGCATCTGGCAACCCAGTGCCTCTTCTTCGGCCGCCCGCTCGGTTTTTATTTCGTTTTTAGGGCGACACTAAGAGGTATTTGTCCATCAAGACTCCCTCTTGGTCAGACATGTGAGCAGCAGCTCCCAGGGAGGTGATGGAGATGAAACCCTCCACATGTTGACACGGGTTTTAGCGCGTGGCCCCGAGGGAGGCACCAGGCCCCAGGGGACGGATGGCCGGCGGGCTGCCCCCCAGGTGTCTCCACTGACAGCGAAACGACCTGTGAAACCTTCAGCACCTACACGGGAACCGCCAGCTCGGGGGGGGGGGGGGTGTCTGAGAGCGTCTCTCTCCCCAGCCGTGGTCTCTGTGAGCAGGCGGCGGAGTTGCTGGAGGAGAGGCTCTACACGCCTGTGAATATGCAAACAAGATGACTAATTGATCGCGATGATAATTGCTACGTCTCCTAATGGCTTTCTCTACTCCCACCTGACATGACAAATGGAAGCCCCGGAGGCTCCGGTGTTTAATTCTTTGGCGGTGAAACATAACTCGAGTGTGTATGTGGTGAGCCCTCACGCCGGAGCGGGCTGTTTCTGTGGGCTGAGCGGGGAGCGCCCGTGTGAGCAGCCCAGCGGCCTCGGGTCGATACACCGCTGTGCTCCTGCCCCGGGGGCTGCGGGTTCGAAGCGGGAGAGTTAACCTGCTGGTTGAGGTCACCAGACCGTCAGCTAACTTCTTGGGATAAATGTGAACGCGTCCCGTTCAGCCTTGTGGTCTGAACACGCTTAGAGATGAACGGCAAGCCGATGTCGCCTTTCCGGTTTGGGGCCCGGCGGGTGATTTGCTAAAGAAATCCCGCAAAGCCGCTGAGAAGGAGGATTTCATGGAGGAGTTTGCTGTTCGCCTCCAGGCAGAGGAGACAGACCACCCACCCCTGACGTCGTCGCAGCCCTCAGACGTCCACCCAGGAACCTCGGGGTCGTGTCACCGACCCGCGATTTTACAGCGCGGAAGGCCGTCTGGCCAACATCAACTCTCCCCGGACAAGACGCCGGCTAAAGGCCGTGGGACGTCCGGCTGGGAGAATGGGCTCCGGGTGAATCACAGCGGAGAGAACCCTGAGGATGGTACCAGTTATGTGACTTAATGGTCTGGTGGCCTCTGGTTTCTCAACCTGAAAGCGTGGCTCAGTGGCTGAGCGTCGTCCTGAGCACCAGGGGGTCAGGGTTCGATTCCGCGGTCAAGGGCACAGGCCCGGGTTGTGGGCTCGATCCCCAGTAGGGGGCGTGCAGGAGGCAGCCGATGGATGGTTCTCTCTCATTGATGTTTTTATCTTTCTCTCTCCGAAAATCAATAAAAACGTATTTTTTTAAAAAACGTTTTAAAAGTGATCAATAATTGCAACCATCTCCTGGAAACGTGGCCAGGCCTCTGAGGATGTGTGCGGGGCGGGGATGGGGGACACAGGGGAGGGGGGAGCCCTGACCAGCCTGGGGGTACCCCTCACACAGCCAAGCACAGCTGTGGGGGGCACGACCTGTGCCTCTGGATGGACCGTCCAGCGCTGGCGACGATGATGAAGGGGGTCCCCCTTCGTGCGCAGCGGCAAAGCTGGCGAAGGGGTTTGGGGAGGCATCGCGATCGGATGAGCTCCGGCCTGAGCTGGGTATGAAGCCTCAAGTAAGTTGTGCTTAGAGTTTGGGGAGCGATGGCGATGTCAGTTGCGAGTTCAGCAAAGTTAGTTCTTTCCTTTCTCCTCGTCTAGCACTGGGTTCTGACCTCTTCCTTCACCCGAAGCATTAGCCCTGAGAGCGGCGCTGTCCGCGGTGCTGAAGTCTCCGCGGCGGGCGCTGTCCGAGGTGCTGAGGTCGCAGTGGGTGCAGGCGCTGTCCGAGGTGCTGAGGTCTCAGTGGATGCAGGCGCTGTCCGAGGTGCTGAGGTCGCAGTGGATGCAGGCGCTGTCCGAGGTGCTGAGGTCGCAGTGGATGCGGGCTTGTGGAAGGTCCTGAGGTACCGGGGCTGCGGGCGCTGTCCAAGGTGTTGAAGACACCCCCGCCCAACCCCGCAGAGCCTTGGCTGGAGAAAGGGCGCCCCACGCCTCAGGGGGCGCTTTAATGAAAGATGCCAGAGCGCCCCAGCCGGTTTGGCTCAGTGGATAGAGCGTCGGCCTGCGGACCGAAGAGTCCTGGGTTCGATTCCGGTCAAGGGCACGTACCTCGGTTGCAGGCTCCTCTACGTCCCAGGCCCTGGTCAGGGCGAGTGCAGGAGGCAACCCATCAATGTGTTTCTCTCACACCGATGTTGATGTTTCCCTCTCTCTCTCCCTCTCCCTTCCTCTCTGAAATCCACTGAGCCAAACCGGCTAGGGCAGTTGTCGGCAAACTCATTAGACAACAGAGCCAAATATCAACAGTGCAACGATTGAAATTTCTTTTGAGAGCCAAATTTTTTAAACTTAAACTATATAGGTAGGTACACTGTTATTAACTTAATTAGGGTACTCCTACGGCTTAGGAAGAGCCACACTCAAGGGGCCAAAGAGCGGCATGTGGCTCGCGAGCTG